GCCGTTCGCGCCGCCGCCGCCCGGCGCTGCGGGCGCGCCGGCGCGCAGCAGCCACGGCCCCAGCCGTGCGGCCAGGCCGCCGCCCTCGCCTGTCGTCACCCTGGCCGCGGCCGCGCGGCGGGGCGTCAGCGCCTCGTCCCCGGCCGGCGCGGCGGCGGCGACCCCAGCCAAGACCAACGCATGCTCCGGCGCCGGCTCGAGCGCGACCGCCGCCTCCCACCGACGCTCCTCGCGGGGGCGCCCCTCTGCCGCTTCGAGGGCTTCCTCCCCGTCCGTGCCCGAACCGCCCGAGGGCGCCTCGGCGCCGCCGCTGCGGCCCTGCTGCTGCTGCGTGAGGTGCCTGAGGGCGGCGGCCGCGTTCCTGAAGGCCAGGCAGCGGCGTCGTCTCATGAGTGAGTAGGCCAGGCGCGAGCGTGAGTGCGTCAACACGCGCAGCACGGCAGGAGGCGGCACAGTTCCAGGCCCGACCCTCCGCGTTCGGTTGCGGGCGCCGCGGCCGGCCGCCACAGAGGCCGTCCTCACCGACCCCCATCGCAGGCAGCCGCGTGGGGAGAATGACGTCACCGCGCCCCGCCTCACCTGGCGCTCCCTCGGACTGGCACGTAGGGCGCCGCGCGCCGCCCGCTGGCCGTGAGCACCTCCTGTAGCTCTGTCTCTATGCGCGCCAGCACCTCCCGCTTCTGATGCCATGCCCCAGCTGCCCCCGCCGCGCCGCTGTCCGCGCTCGCCGCGCGCCGCACGGGCGCGGCCGCGGCCGCGCCGGCAGGGGCGGCGCCGGCGACTTCGCTGTTACTTGTGGCCGGGGCGTCAGCAGGGGTTGGCGAGCTGCGATTAACAGCAAGCCCCTGCGCCGCGCCGTGCCGCTCCTCGTCCTCGGGGGCCGCGCCCGCGCCCGCCGCGCCGCCCTCGCTGGCACTGCCGCCGGCGGGCCATCCCACAGCCGACAGCCGGCTCGCCGCCCGCGCCGGCGCCTGCTCCCCCGCACTCGGCCGCCCTGGGTCGCTCTCGGCGCGCTCGCCGAGCGCCGCCGCAGCCGCGCCGTCGCCTCGCGCGCCCGTGTGCGTGCCGTCGGCCACAGCGGCGCCGGGCCGCGCCTGCGCTCCGGCGCCCGCCAGCGGTGGCCGCTCGGGGCTGGTCGGGGCGGAGCGCGTCGCGGCGGGCATGACCAAGGCGCGCTGACTCAGCG